ACTCCAGAATGGCGACTCCCTCTTCTCCTTTCTCCAAAACTGTGCAAACCGGTTGGAATGAGAAGGCTCTTGCAACAGACATTGCACACTAAAATCGGAAGTCGAAGAATTCATGAGTGCGCTTGTGGACTCTGAAACTCGTTGATCAAGTCAACATGTCGTCGCTTCTTCCTCTTCCATCTTCTACCCAGGCTTCATCTTACTAAAATATACCTCTGCAATTGCCATGTCCGTCCAGCAGCCGAATCCACCAAAAGTCTGCGTACCCAACTGCACATGTGCAAAGTAAGGACATGTCAGACTCATGTCTCAAAACCTACCTGGAGATTTGTGTCTTCTTCTCTCCTTTGCCCAAAATACATGTTTTACACTGGCATGGAGAAGGCCGCGACTAGTGTGGGTGGATACATAGACCCCCTCTTCCTCCCTTCTTCCTCTTACTATCTTCTCTCTTTTTGAGTATCTAAAATATCGAAAACTCAAGATGATGATTGGATGGCTGCGCCGTCTTCATGTTTAAAAAAACCAAAGCCCCCGATCAATGTGTCTGCCTCTCTTCCTTCTTCGGTCTCTTGGTACCTTCTCCAAACTTGAGTACTCAAAGCACCAAAAACTCCACACAACCCTGCCATGTGTGCGTCGTCTCCTCAAAAACGCAGCTGCAGCCGACATGAGCAAGTGCCTGCCTCTCTTCCTCTCTCCGACATTTCGATATCTTCTCCATACTTGAGTATTCAAATTGCGGATAACCCCATCGCATGGCTGCGTTGTCTTCTCCAGAAAGCTGCAAGACTCCTGGTTATGAGTCTGCCTTTCTTCCTCTTCTTCGACGAAACTTCGAAACAAATTCGCGAGGCTTTCATGAAGAGAACTTCCTTCTCTGGAGATACTTGAATACTGGTTCAAAATCAAGCATGAGGAGCACCTTCTCCTCCGACCTGAACAGCAAGAACAAAAAGACAAATCTGATCGAGTACATGTGTCCGCGGTCCATCGCGAGCCTTAGAATACCAAAAGGAAGCCGCTATGCTCACATGTCCGATTCCAAAACGAAGCACCAACATTCTGATGTCGTTGCCCGCGGCCGTCTCCGTCTCTTGATTTCCAAAATACATCACCCCGCAGCCCCATGGTCCGAGAAGCAGTGGCGACACAGGAAGTATAAAGCTTTCTTTCAAGTCCAGTGTTACCATGTACTTGTTCAAACCACTGGGATCACGAAGTTCGTAATCAAAACCTTTCGAGTTTGTCGTGATGACTGCCGGTGTGATGAGAAGTCTTCCACAAACTCAGATGTTGAGCATGTATGAGAACAAGCGCGCAAGCTGGATGTGATACGCAATGATGATGATCACTATCATCATTCCGACACTGGCGACCCGGGACTCTAGAGTACAACATACATCAACATCAAGTCATATATCAACCACACATCACTATCAGAACAGCAGTGCAATTATACTTTTTATTATCAAGCGCATACTAAGCTACGTGAGACGCCATCCATCCATCCCAATTCCGAAGGAATAAGAAAAACTACAAGACCCTCCTCAAGCCTACCAGGAGGTCGCAGAGGGGATATCGTCGTGATGCTAATGTTACAGGTTTCCATTTTCCGCCTATCCGTACGCAGATCGTAAGGTCGTGAAGTGATGCGCATGGCAGTCATATCGAGAGAAGATCCGACTGAACGCTACTTGCCGGGTATTGTGAGGTGCTTACAACTCCTGCTTAGCAGAGCTGGCGCTAGCGGCGGCAGCATCGTATCCGCTCTGGGCAGACTTGGAGGCAACCGACGACGCGCTGGAGGCAGAGGATGAGGCAGCGGCGTTAGCGCTGGCAGCAGACTTGGAGATGGAGGAAGAGGATGAGGACGCGGCCTTGCCAGCAGCGCCGCTGAGGGAGCTAGCGCTGGAAGCGGCGCGGACAGAAGCAGAGCTGGCGCTGGATCCAGCAGCGTCGGTAGCGGAGGTAACGCTGGCCTGAGCGAGACCAATCTGCTGCTTGATCAAGTCGGTGTAGTAGGCGAAGCCACCGGTGGCAGCAGCGTACTGTTGGCCGACGTTGGAGGTAGCAGCACCGTAAGCGGAAGCACCAGAGGCAGAGACGGAGCCGGCAGAAGCAGAGGCGCTGTCGCCGTAAAGGCGGGCACGGTGCTTGCGGGCGAGAGCGATGAGCTCGTTGCGCTTGGAGCCCTGGGGAACCTTGATGCCGTTCTTGTCAGCCCACTCCTTGATCTGGCTGTCAGACCAGGAGTCGAGAAGGGCGTCGCTGAGGCTTTGCTGGGCGTTGGCAGCAGCGGAAGAGACGGAAGCGTAGGCGCTCTGGGACTGCTGGCTGGCAAGACGAGACTGGCGGCGGAGAGCAGCGATCATCGAGTCGCGGGTGTTGGGCTGGGGGACGTTGTAGCCACGCTCATCGAACCAAGACTTGAGGTCAGAGTCCGACCAGGAAGCGTAGAGCCAGTCACCGGGGTAGTTGGCAGTCTCCTTGGCCTTCTCGGCTACGGACTGGTAGTTGTTACGGACGGCAGCGAGGAGAGAGTCACGCTGGCGGGGCTGGGGGACGGGAATGCCGTGCTTATCGGCGAAAGCCTTGAGCTGAGAGTCGGACCAACTATTGTTTGTTAGTAAATGTGCTGAGAATGGATCTCTGGGTACTCACGAGTCGAAGATCCAGTCCTTGACACTACCATAGGCCTGGTTCGCGGAGTCCTCGGTCTCGGTCCAGTACACCTTGACCTGCTCAGCGAGGCTCTTGGCGTCCTTCTCGGTGCCCTTCTTCGCCTGCTGGCCTTTGAGGGTCAGGTAGTTCTGGAGCGTCTGCGCATCCCAGCTGGTGTAGGGAGTGACAACCTTGTCGTTCCAGTTGGCCTTGACAGTCGACTGGAGGTTCTTGCGGTCCGAGGGGCTGGGGTGGGGAACGCCGTGGTCGCTGAGCCAGCGCTCAAGCTCGGTCTCGTGCCACTTGTCGTAGACTGCTTCCTGGCGTCAGTATGCTGCTGCATGGCGCTGTGGATAAATCAAAACAAACGGGAGGGGTTATGTACTATACGCACCGGCGCTTCCAAACCAGCTGTTGGCCGTTGCCGTGGCAGCAAGGGACACCACGAAGGTGGATGTAAGGGAGAACCTCATGATGTGTGACTGCCGATGTGAGGATGTGCTTGATATCGATTAATGAAGCAAAGACGAGGGTTTGAAGAGTAGGCAAACTCGGTAGAGGGGGTGAGGGCTAGAGGGTAGTGGTGGGCAGCGAGTTTATGAGGGGAGGGAACAGACAATGGCGGGTAGATTGTGTGCGTGCGAGTGACGTAGTGCTGCACGTATGGAGCTTGGGCAAACAAGATCCCCAACGCGCCTGCCTCGCAGAGCAGCCAATGAGGAGCTATGGCCACATGCAACCGCGTCTTTTGGCTGTGCGCAATTGTGAGATCGCCTTTCAGGAGCACGGTCTAGGCCCTGCATATGCTTGACGTTTTCGCAGTAAGAGAGCTCCGAGGCCTGTCACTCTTGTTTGCAAAGGCAGCGAGCATCATCGTGGCACAAGTCGTGCGAAATAGCGCCCCTCTGCCGGGCGTTGTGTCGCGATGGCATTTCAAAAAAATCCCATCACGTCGACAAATGCGGGGGCGATCCACACGCTAGCCCCCTACGTCATCCCCAAACATGCACAAAACTTATGAAGCCGAGCCTACGTTCAGAGCCCCGATGATGGATAGATAACACAGGACGCGTTATCTCTGGCTGCTTATGTTTGATGAATGTTGTACATTTCGTGACACTTCTACGAGTCAATTTCAGCTAATTGTACACATGCTCATCTTATCCGAACATTCACCCGCCCCTTGCTTATCCTCGTACGCCTTCGGAGCCGCTTCGTCCACCTTCGCCTGTGAATGTGTTAGCAACATGCCAATGCCCTTCGTCAAGCTATGACATACCTTTCCAGAAGCCGCCGGGGACTTTGTCCTTCTCTGCCTCTTCGTTGCTGACCTTCTCATGCGCCTGTTCCGCCCTGTTATCCATGTCCTTGTTGTGTTGCTTGACGTCCTCGCTCTGCTCTTCAGAAGCCGGCGGGTTTTCGTTGAGTATTTTTGGTTTCGCACCTTTGACTTCGTTGGGCGAGGGCTTGTTGTCTTGGCCCTGCTTGACGGCTGGCTCTTTGTTGTCCTTCATCTGGCGGGCCGATGTCGAGAACTCGCGCTTGCCGGAAGAGCTCTTAGGAGCCGGTGACTCGGATGTAGGCTTGGGAGAGTCATTCTGGCTGGCGTTGCTGTCCTTGTTCGGCGACGACGAAGATTTGCCCTGGGCGACCTTGGGAGGTGCGGGGCCGGGGTGCTCGAGGTTCTCGCTGGGGTTGGCGCCCTGCTTCTCGGGCTTCTCTCCAGCTGGGTTGCCCTTACCAGAGCCGTAATCTGATGTCGCGAAACGAACTTGGACGCGGGCACGGGGAGCCGCCGAGAGGGCTGCGGGCCGTAGTGCTGCCGAGCGCAGCATTGACATGGGTCGTAGGAAGCTCATGATGTGAATTGGTGAGATGCAATTGAAACTGACAAAGATTCCTGTGTTGTGAGGTGTGTAGTTTAAAGTTGAGGTTGTCCGCCAAACGTAGGGTCTAGAGCTGCAATAAGTCCAAGCTCGTTGTTGACGTCATGGTTTCCTCAAGTGCTAAGCTTCCAGCCGCAACGCACGTCACAGCAGGCTCGCATAACCACATCTGCAGTGCCGCAGCGACGATCAGCTAGCCTCTCAAACACCAGCCATTCACACGATACTGCACTTCAGCCGCTGTTTAGTGTAGATAAGACCTTGTTTGGGGGAGTTTGAAGCCTGTTATGGTGACGGAGAGGCGCATTGCATCTCAGGCGTCTCTTCGGCAGGAGCAGAACACATGCCAATGGCTTGCGATAACGCGGAGCGAGCAGCGAGCCATCACTAATGGCACGACAGTCGCAGGTATATGCACAAAAGATTCGTAGTTCCAAGAATGAGATTATCCTACCACTCACAATAAACAACAATATGAACCTTCCTCTCTAGACCCGGATATTGACAATCCGTGATATCATCAGGGTTGTCTTTCTCATCAGCCTTCTTACATCCCACAGTCTTCCCCAATCCCATACTAGGACAATGGAGCACACCTGGATTAGTTCCGTCGCTCTGGTACTCGCAGTCCTCTTCTCCGAACAATGGCATGGTGAAAGTGCCGTGTGGCCACGGCGGGTTTGACAGGGCTGAGGCATCGGACCATTGCCGCGAGACATCGTTGAGGATGGGCACGCTGCAGCCATCCGCTTGGGTGTTGGGTTTGATCTCGAAGAATGTCCAGTTGTTGTAATCTTCGCCATTGCCGTTTGTGTTCCGGAAGATCACCGATAATGCCTTCGTTGGAGGCTCGGTTTGAGGTGGTGGCGGAGGTTGCGATGCAGGGGATGGCTTAGGCACTGCTGAAGGTGTTTTCGTCGTGCTAGGTTGGGCCGGTGTCCAAGTAAGAGACGGAGTTGCCGACGTCATGGAAGACTGTGACGATGGTGATGTGGCTATCGACGAGGGCGGTGGGCTTGGGCTTGAGCTTCCGCCGGTTGAGTCGCTCAATGACGGCCTGACTGTTGTCTGGAAGGTGGACGGAGTAGGCACAGTCGAAGCTGGTGATGGGATGGGTGATGCCGATGATACCGACAAGCTGTTGCTAGGTCGAGCACAAGTGTCGCCATCTTGACGTTTCATCAAAGCCTCGAACTCTTTCCACTCTGCTTCGTCCGCATCCGTCACCTCTCTTCCTCTGAGCAAGCGCAGGTCTTTACCACTGGATGCGACGGACCGTTTCTCTGCCTGCACAACCTGATCTGGGAATGGCTGCCATGTGTCTCTATAACGGTAGGTAGGAGCATCCTCAAACCAAAGCTCTATCCCCGCAACTTGCTGCTGATTGCAACCGCCTTCTGCTGGTACGAGAGCGGCTGCCACGGGGTCATATTGAATGTAGATCTTGCCTTTCGGGGTCGTCTCATCCCGATTGTTTTCCTCAGCCGGAGTGTAGGGTATGATTAGTGCGTCATTCCGTCCAAGGATGTTGTTTAACAGATTTTTGATCTTGTCTACTTCGTATGGATAGTTAATGTCGTCACTGGCCGGGTTGATAGCAAAATCTCTATACGGCGTAATGATGAACGCACGTACTTTGTTTTCTGCAATGTTTTCGAAGCCTTCGCCGGGCACAGTGAAAACTGTAAGGGGGTGGGAAAACTCCGGACTACCATTTCGGAGAACATCCAATACATCACTTTGGAAAAGCTGTGGCTGTTCCATGGAAGGTTTTTCCCAGATGTGGGTAAGAAACATGCGTTTGCGGGAGATGACCACGACGGATGTGCAACCCCATAGGTTGACCAGGTGCCAATCGTCCGCTGCATCCTCCAGTGGGAACGACAGCCCAGTCGTTCCTCGGCCCTGTTCAAGAGAGCCGTAAGGGTTAAGGCTATCGCGGATCTGATCAAGGAGCCATGCCCCAACATCACCTGACAGAGTTAGTCGACGTCAGTGGAAGCTGAGTATTACATATGGGCGATGCATGTCAGTAGCTTCCAATAGCTTTAAAAGGATACCACCAGCTATGAGACAAGTCACATACCGTTGTGTTCAGGCCCATACGGGCTCGAAAGACTTCGCTTCGAGACATGACTAGTAGGGTGGCCGGTTTCCACTGGTGCAAGCTCTTCCGCGCTCAACTGAGGGTTGCGGAAGTGCGATACAGCAATGGTCGTGGTTGAGGAGATAGCAATGCTTTCAAAAGCTGTGGGAAATTCGGTCGGTGCAGGTACGCTAGTCGCCAGTCTTCGCACCTTTCCATTACAGTTGTCGCAGTCGGGGGCACATCTCTGTCTAGTAGCCGTTGTTGTAGACGTAACCGTGGATGAAGAAGTGGAACCAGTAACATCGCATTTGGTTATGGGTGCACCGCAAACTGTGGTGCAGACATCACCTTGCGCCCGCTTGTTTGGCCCTCCTTTGGTCGTAGTTGCAGTTGCTGTACATGCAATGTTACAGTTACTAACGGTTGTTAGAGTGCATGTAGAGGAAGAGGTCTGCGTAGGTTCTTCAGTCTCTGACACTGAATCAGAGGGCTCGGAGGCTTCGTCCGGAACCACCTCGTTGAGAGCATCGAGCAATGGCTTGAGGTCATCTTGTAAGCCCTTGACAGTATCCACTGCGGCTGTCGTTCCGCCGATAACTGCATCCTTCACCTTATTGGTAGTGTTGATGACACAGTTGACGAGCGAGAATGCTGTCTTGAACAACCCGCCGAGTAAATCGCGCTCACTGAGAACATCGTGCAATTCATGATTTCGTTCGCTTCTTCGGCGTTTTCCAGACCCACATGGCTCAACTCCGTCTGTTGGCTTTGGTAGCTTGGCCAAGAAGCCAACTGCGTCGGGTATGATATTGTCCAGCTCGTCTGTCACCTCGGTGACATGAGCGACAGGATCTTTTATCCAGTTTTGGAGAATAGGAAAAACGCCCAAGATGGCTATGGATAGATCCGACGCACTCGACTGTACTTCGGTTCCAGTGGGTACCAACGTAGTTACTGGCGAAGGAGGAATGGTGATTCCGGGGGGAAGTAATGGGCTATTTGATGTTGCGAGCATTGTGGAGGCAGTGTTGGACGCTGAACTGACTACAGTAGGCTGTACGGTTGAATGGAGGCTTGTCTCACCACTGGCTGTAACTCCCGTGACGGAACTTGATGTAGTCGTTAGATTGCTAGCACTGGATACCGCTGGTGAAAACGTGGTGGTACTCGACGAGATTGGAGATGGAGTGTAAGACGAAGTGATAGACGAGACTAAAGGGGGACCGGAAGGTTGGGGAGAAGTAGTAAGTTCTACAGTTGAGGCCTTCGACGAAGATGCGATTGTGCTGGTATCCACGACGGTATCGTTCGTCTGCGTCGCTAAAGAGAGACTAGTGAACGAAAGGCTTGAGGAAGCCGTCGTACGTGGTCCATTGAGTGGAGTGGAAGGTTCGACGATAGTAGTGCTTGTGCTGTTGACCGGCACTGGAAATGGAGCCTGACTCTGGAAGATCACGCTGCTGCTTCCGGTACCCGTACTGATCTGTGCCTGGATGAATGCCGAATGGGAGATGAGTAGAGCGAATGCATTACCGCAGTGTAGGAGTTTCATGACGACGTAATGATGCAGGAAGAATGAAACGATGGGGAGAGTACTTTGAAAGCTCCTAGAATCATGATCTTTGTTCAGCTTTATGTGTCATCTGGATGGTCAGCGTGCTTGCGCTTTCATCTACCTACAGTCCAATTTAGATGATCTTGCATACCCTCCATGTAGTAATTTTCTACATGTCCGAAGCGCTTGCAAAGGATTGTCGTTGGTGTTCTAAAATCGGGACTCAGGACACGTATTCTGTCTTGCGTCTCGCTGTCCATTTCTGCGCCGCGAAGCAGCGGTATTGTGAAGGTGCGATGTTGTCAGATCGGTCAGCGAATCCAAGCAAAGAAAAAGGCGGAAGTTTGGTCCCCGAAGAGGTTTTGGCCCGTGGCGTAGCGTCATACTCTGCCTGGACCAGACGCTGATGGCCATGGGGGCTGATTTGACGATGCAATTCACCATGTTTGTGACTTGTCTGACGTTGCTGTACCCCGGCGGAATGTCAGGTGAACTTGAATGCAAAATCACTAGATGAAGTGGTAGAGTTTTAAGGGAGGGAGACATGGACGTTGAACGGAAGGAAGCGATTTGAAGGTGATGAGGATAAGTGCGACTGCCACTTACTGGCCGCACGGACGACCACGAGTCCGGCGCCAACCCCCATGGCGACCCCAAATGGCCACCCATCTTTTTTGAGTAGTATCTGAAACAGTACGCCGCATACGCCGCATACGCCGCATGAAGACGGCAATCCTACGGGGGGCCAGTCAGATGTATTTATACTGCGGGGTGACGCAGACCGTCACTCGATCATACCACCTGGGCACTTGACTTCATCCTCTGGGCTGCATACCTAGGTACATTCCTCCACGGCTGGATCCACCATGCCACCCCATCTCGCATACTACAAACTCGGAGACCAAAGTAACGATCCGTGTTGTGCAATCTTCTTGCAAGCGTGCGAGAGCAATAATGCGGCCGTTGCGTTAATGCTGGCGTCTGGTAGACAGCCTGAACCGCTAACCTACGGGCTCAATAAAGCTATCGAATGCAATCATCTCGACCTGGCCACACAACTCCACACCGCAGGTGCTAGATGGGACACACGTACAGTGCACTGCGCATCAGACTCCCACGAAGGGGTGAAGTGGTTGTTAGAGTGGGGTTACGACGTCAATACCAGCATCGCCTATGGCGCTGTGCTGCTCCCGTAAGTCTGTGCGACGAAGCCACTACGACACCAATTTCCACGAAGACTGCAACAGTTAGCTCACCGAAGTTAGTTTAGTTGTCAAGCGTAACGACGAACCGAGCATTCGATTGCTCTTAAGACTAGGAGCGAACCCCAACCTCGGGCCACCGAAGAAGATAACAGCGCCAGCGATGAATATGCGTCCCATATCCAACTGTGGCCACACACTCAATAGCGCAGCCGCAAACTGTAGCCCAGAGATATTCGCTCTTTTGCTCGCTCATGGTGCTGTGCTGTCCAACTCTACACCGCTCCACCGTGCAGCGGGTAGTATAAGCGACAACAGAATCCCAATGCTTGAGTATCTCGTCGGAGAGCTAGGCGTTGACATTCACGGTATGGACAGTGGACCACCTATACCAGACGAGTGTTGCGGACGCGAAGGCACATCACTACACTGTGCTCTCCGCCGGAAGCGATACGAGACGGCTAAATGGCTACTGGAGCATGGTGCCGACCCCGACAAAGGCGACTCGTTCGGGACGCCAGCAAGAGCATTGATGAGGCGCCTCCCTGATGACAATGAACTTGTAGTTCTACTTCGGGAGCATCGAAAGAACACTAAGTCCATCGCGCACTTCTGAGGAACAAGTCGGACTGCTGGAGTCGGATGTATGTATCATTGAGTTCGATAAAATTGTACCATTAGCAATCATGATAGCGAAGACACCCAATGTATCATCATCCACAGTTCTACTTGTGGAGGGAGGATAGCCTGCATACTCAGATATTGATTTCAGATCGGGCTAGAATATATGCAGTAGTAGTACTCAGCTCACCGAAAGTAGACTGCTACACACGCTTAACACGTTTCCTGCTACCCTCCAGCAATTCATCCCTCCCATCTCCACCATCTCCCTCACCGCACTCCTCAAACTTCCTCTTCACTCCCCTCAAAACCAAACACCTAACCTCAGGCGCCACACCCCCATCCCCACTCATCACCACCCCCCTGCCCCAAGCCCTCTCAAACCTCCACCCCTCTCCAATCACCACAATCCCCTCCCCCTCATTCCCCCTCCCACTCGGCCACCCCTCCTTCTCCCACCTCTCACTCGGCACCTCACACCCCTCTCTCAATGCCGCAACCACCCTCTCCCACCTCGCAACCGTAGCCGCATACACCGCCGTACCCCTAATCTGCATATCCCCGAAAATCTCCCTGTACTTCGCCTTATCAGCTACCAACCGCCTCACCCACCCCTTATCCGCTTCCACCGCCCCGTAAAATGCACATTTGGAAGCGTAGGGACGGAGGAGGGGACATGTGGGACCGCAACGGCCGCGCGTGTAAAGGGGAGTGCAGTGGAGGCAGTAGGCGCCGAGGGTAAGGTAGAGGTTGTGCATGTGTGTGCGGGTTATGAGGGAGTGTTTTATGATGGAGAGGGAGTGGTGGAGAGCGGAGATGCGGAGGAGCATTTGGGGGGTTGCACGGGGTTGGCGCTTTGGCTTTGGTGGGGAGGAAGAGGGGAGGAGGAGGTCGAGCCATGATGCGTGGGTTCCGGTTGGTAGGGCGACTAGGGCGCGTGGCATGGCTGTGTCTTTGGGTGGTGAGCTGGTTCTGCTCTGTCTGAAGAGGAGTAGGTAGTGGGGTATTAGTGATCTATGAATATGAGGTCTAGATAGTGGTATGTGTTACAACTGGGAGCGAAGGTATGGGTCAGAGACAGTATGCATTGTGTTAATACTACAATGGCCTACTTCGAGAAGAAAACAGTCCTACCCAGCTGTTGCGAGAGTGATGAGGAAACATGAGGTGAAGGTGTACATTGTAGCAAGCGATTGCGTTGTGAATTTGCGTTTGAATTCAAGCACGTGTTGGTGAACAGCGTGCTGCTAATCTTGAAGGCATGTGTTCGGTTGTGGGCGGGATGGTGTTTGCAATAGCCAGATGATTGAGCTTTGATATTCGATCTTCTTCCACGCAACTACAACAGTGCGGTAGGAACCCTCTTCTCTCCTAGTATCTGATCAAAGGTCGTCGGAACACGGCGTTGGTCTTTCTCCACCTCCTGATTTACCCTCCTGGCCTCTCGCTCCTCCCTGGCCCTTTCATGGCTTCGGTATGCCTGAGCAAGTATCTGCGGTTGAGACGAATCGGTCGGCTCCCGTACGTGCTGGTCCGTCTCTAGGGACGGTAATGTGTGGTGTCCCAGCTCTGGACCAGCCACCGGGCTGAGCGGAACATCTTCGAACTCAGGTGAGTTAGAGAGCTTGGCGAGGTTAAACGAGAGCTCACTGGGTGTTTCATCGAAGCTAAAGCGGCGTAAGATGGGTGGCGTGCTCCCAATGATTCGGATAACTGGAACGTTGGAAGAAGTCTTCGCGCGGACGTGGGAGCTCTGCATCGTACTGTCGTGTCTCTCAGTCGCAGACCTCTTCTCTTTCGTACTGTTGCGCTTCACAGCAGCTTTGCGACTCAGTCTGACGGGGTTACTACGAGGGCCGAGTACAGAGCCATGGTCCTCAACGCTGTCGAGTGGGGCATCCATAATGATGTAGGGAGTTCTCTCGATGCTGAAACCCTCGCATGTTCTCTCCAGCCGTGCAGGGGCACTTCGATGCTTTTCAGCTTCCGTATGTGAAGACCCTTTTTGTTGACTGCTCGAACTTGACGGTAGACGGGTGATGCGCTGCTCATACCCATTATCGTTCACGAAGCGATCATACCGCACTTCAATATCGCGGTCACTATTCCACCTTAGAAAATCTTCAAACGGCATCACGCTCTTCTGAAGTGGTATTTCTCTCGATGCCATGTCGATTTGATGTAGGTATTAGTCGACGGTAGTAGCGGGAATATATCGGATTGCTCATTACGATCGCCCTGCTCTTCAAATCCTCACGTTGTTTGCGTACGAGAGACATCGTGAAGATATGGTGTTTTCCAGAAGTTTGCGCACCATCGCGAACAGTGTGTGATTCCCGAGATTCGTCACGCATCTTCGAGAGTCGTGTAGAGGAGTTATGCGAGGTCCTCAGTGTTCGTGGTGGATATTCCGTAAGGTCCGAAGGTGAGAGCAAACGGTATCGCGTCTTTCAAGCCTCTTTCTCCTCTCGCATCCTCCTAACCTCCGCTTCCACCCCCTCAACACTCATCGGCACCTTCCCTCCCTCCCACCTCTCCCTCTCATCCTTCACCCACCCCTCCAAACTCAACAGCCCCACGCACAGGAAACCCAGTACCTCTCTATCCGTATCAAACACCTCCCACCACTCACACTCCGGCATCTTAATCCCCGTCTCGCGCGCCGCAAGATAAATCCCCGCCGTCGCCAACTCATGCGGCTGGTGCGTCAGGTAAAGGCACTGCGGACTCAAGAGCGCGGTATTGAGATGCGCGATCGCGCGTTTCGCGAGTTCAGAGGCGCGCGGGTGGCTGAAGATGTCGAGGGCTTGCATATATGTAATGCATAGTGTGTAGGGGAGTTGGACGTGCGTGTTGAAGCCGAGGGTACGCAGGATGCGTTGTTCGGTTGTAAACAGCGTTGCGCGACGGCGTTCGTATGTCCCTTCGCTGACGTAGTATCCCTTTGCGTCTTCGCCCGTCCGCTCCAGATTCTCGGTATCGAAGTACGTCGCCGGCAGCGAATCGAGATACGCGTACACGTTTACGAGACTACGCGCTGACTTGGGATATGCGGAGAGCTTCGTGGTGAGGTACAGCGACGCGGCCGAGACTTGTTCTGCGCCGAACTCAGCGAGACTGCCGCCTTCGGGGCCGAGCCAGAAGCGCATGAAGATTACGATGGCTTGTGCAATTACTTCTTGTGGTAGGCGCAGCAGGATGCCGGCGGCTTGCGTGAGGCGCGCGCCCGCGAAGCGGATGGAGTCTTCGAGCGTGGGCGGGATGCCATCGAGTTGGGAGCCGGAGGTTTCGAGCTGGGCGACGGATGCCAATGGGTTCGCGAGGGGTGAAGGTTGCATTTTGGAAGAGCTGGAGTGGGGTGGGAGTGAGCGCGACGGCGTTGGTGTGGTGTGGGAGCTCTTGCGCGGAATGAAGTTGGGGTCGATGCTGTGGAGCTGGTGGACTGAAGATGGGTGAGCCTCGGTACACTAACCGTCATCTTTCTTAGTCAACGACATCAACTCCACACACGGCAGAGACTTGTTACGAAGTTCCATTTTGTAATCTTGATCGATCGAAGCTCTCGGAGAAGTATAAATGCCCGCGATATATTTGTTGTGGTCTGGCAAACTTCCATCAAGAAACCGTCTCCTTAGCTCAATTGGGAGAGCGCCAGACTGAAGTCATCAGTCACTAAATCTGGAGGTATCGTGTTCGATCCACGAAGGGGACAATCACCGTGCTTGAGCCTGCTCAAGAACATTCGAACCATTCTTTTTTGCAAATCTTTTGCACTTTCCAACGGGCTTCACCGCTCAGTAGACGATCAGGGTACAGGGTTGAAGGGGGGCTGGGAAGAGTAGGTCCGTTACCCCTCTCTGCTCACTGCCTCATTTTTTTTGTACATATCAAGCGAGACGGCAAGCGAATGTGACAGCCATTGCGCTGGTGCCACGTACGACGCATACGCCTCACGATGACGAGGTGGATCTGAGGATCTCCTTTGGCTTACTTGCTCGGGGAGGTGGTTACGATTAGGATGGGGAGTTGAGGGGCGATGGCGTGGGCACTACAATCGACGGAGAAGATGAATATTTCGAAGTCTACATTGGCGCTGTGCCGTCTCATCTACCCTGGTGTAGGCTGCAGCAATGCTCAGTCTCTTCTTAGTGTGAGGCGTAGATACCTAGGTAGCCTTCTGCATGTCTTGGCTTCGCACACATAGTTGGGCTGATATTCAAACACAATGTCTAAAATCATTAAACGTGTTTGGCAAGTATTTGAAAGAAGTGTTTCAAATCACCGCGCTGCAGTAGGCTTGATATCAATTAGTCATACAGCATTTGAAACAAGCCTGGTGTAAACACTGTAAAACAATATGCAGCAATGGGATGAAGTGGATAGCAATATCATTACTGTACTCTACGACAAACAACTTTTTGACCATTCCCCAACTCCCGCTAAACTACATCACATTACATCACCAATAGCAGAACAATCTCAAACACTTTTGAAGTTGAACAGAAAGAGTACAATAGCATTAACTCAATAAAATAACTGATTAAACGAGGGCGTAAAGGGTGGGTATCTTGCCGGCTAAATGCTATCCAAAAACCGCTAATCAACACGACTAATACACACAAAAGAAAAAGAACCCTTCGTGGCTATTCGCTCGCGAAAGATAAAAAGGAGGGAGAAGGGTAACTCTAAACATTCCCAAAGCTCAAAATGACCAACCCAATAAACCGAGAGAGAAGAAAAAACAATCCGATGTATAAATCCCAAAAACGCAAAGCCCAGAAAATAGATGCTGAGTGAAGAAGAGGAAGCGTGACGACTAGAAGGAGATGTAAAACCCAGATCGAAAGCAAATAAACGCCGGTCGTTATGTGTGCAATAGAATGCGATATGATCTAGTCGATACCAATCATGGTACCATCGCACCTCCAGTCATCCACCTCGACATCCCGCGCAGCTGTGTTGGTAGCTTCGGGGTCGATTTGGACATGAGTGAGCCAGGTGCCCACACGGTTCTGGCCGACCTTGCGGCCGTCGCGAGAGAGACCGGCCATGGTGGATGAGGTGACAACAGGTGTGGATGCGGGTCGGACGCGAGGGGCGGCAACGGGGGCAGGCGCGGGCGCAGCACGGCGTACGCTGCTGCTGGTAAAGAAGGCGCCACGTGGGGTTGACGTGCGTGGAGTGGATGTGCGAGCAGCGGTGCGCGCAACAGATGCGGGCATGGAGCGGATGGCGTACGAGTCGTTCATGTGGTGGCCACCTGCGTTGCCGACGCCGTACATTTGCACCTCGGGTTCAGTGCGGCGGATGGAGGAGACGGTGGGCGTGGGGTTGAGGTGCAGTGAGTCGCGGAGGTGAGCGGACAGGCGGCGGGATTCGGGTCGGGGGAGGTCGCGTTCGCTGCGGTTGCGTGGGGTGCGGACGCTGGGGCGGCGGGCGAGGGGTGGCGAGGGCTCGTCGGGGATTTCAATGACTTCAACATCGGCGTAGCGGGCTTGTTGCGGGTAGGGGACGCGCATGTCGTTGAGCTGGTCGCCGTCGGGGATGTGTTGGTAGTTGAACCAGGGGCAGCTGCAGGTCTTCCATGGGGCGGCGCAGACCATGCAGAATTGTGCTGTACAGCGGCTGGAAGGTTGTTAGATATTGTTGTAGGTGAGTGATATGATGAACGTACCAGGTCATGTGATTGCAACCTTCCTTCAGCTCGACTACAGCCTTGCAGCTGTAGCATCGTTGCCAGCCCTTCTCCTTGGCCATCTCTACCAGGCGGTTGGTCTCCTCGTCCTTGGGGCATTCGCGCTTCGTGTGGAACTTGCTGTTGCAGAGTACGCAGACCTTGGTGTTGCACGTGCTGCAGCGTGCGTACTTGCGTCCGTATGTCGGGTCCATCTTGATCTTGGAAGGCTTGATCCACTGGCCACACCCTTTCGTGGGGCAGTATAGGCGGTTGGCAGTCGTGTACTCTTGGAACTTCCTGTTCCATTGGACCTTGAACTTGTCATCGAAGAGGCGGTCGGCATACTTCAATGGGATGTGCTCTGAGGTGCAGCATCGTGGTGGCATGTGAGCAGGGTCCTTTACGGAAAGGGTGAATTGGCGCTTGAGGCACGAGTAGCACATGCGATGGCCACATGCGAGCTTGACGGTCTTGGTGATGGGTAGGTCATCGTTCATGCACACGAGACAGTCGACCCTAATTGAGGTTAGCTTTGTAGGGTAACGTGACGGGGATACTAACGTTTTCTCTTCAGCCTTGCGCGAAGGCGTTCGCGAAACTGGAGGCGCCGCCTTGGAGAAGAAGCTTGACAAGATGCCCCCGGTGCTCCGACGGGCAGCATCCTTGACCGACTGCGTCCTGGTGAGTGGCGTTGGGGGAGGCGACTTGACCGTGTTGCTGCGTCGTACTGTCGGCCTGGGCTCTCGTTCTCTGGCCGAAGTATGTGCTTTTGGCTCGCGTGTAGATGAATTCCTGGCCCTCATTAGCTGAGCTACGTGTACAAGTGGAGACGGGACTAACCTGGTCAATGGCGGAACTTCGACCCTGCGGACTGACGCAGATCCAGAACCTGAATGCGGAGTGTAGGCAGTCCTGCTAGAAGAGCCGCCTTCCTCGCTTCGCTTGCGCCCAGATGCTCGTCGCACAGGGACTTCCTCAACGTGACCCATGGACTTGGGGCGGCCAAAGACGAAGTCGTCATGGTCATCAGGTATCACTGCTCTCTTGGGCTTCCGCGTGCTGTCCCGTCGCACCTCCTTCTCACGGCTGCTCCGTGGCTTTTCCTTAGCCGGTGTGCGTTTGCTGTCTGATACCACGCGATCGCGGTCGCGCCTCTTCTCAGCCTCGTTGCGTGAGTAGTAGGACTCTCTGCGCGCTCTAATATCCTCAATGTCGACCTCGGCCTGTCTCCTTGCCTCCTCTGCCCGTCGGCGCTCTCTCCTTTCGCGTGTGGAAGCTGTGGGTTCGTCGTCGTGGTCGCGAGATTTGTGGCGGCGCCGGTGCCTCCGCTCTCGTTCGTCGAGATATTCGCCGTCGTCACGGTGTCGTGTGGCCCGGTCATCGCGTCCTCTCGCCATGCCCAGCCAGGGCATGCGGGCGGTATTTTATCTGCCTTCTGCCAGCCGCGCAGGTCACAGGCTCATTCACGCTCTCGCAAAACTTCAGGACGCTGTGCAGGCGACGCACAAAAGCGAACGGGTGTGTGGAGAGTTGCGGTGGGCGTGACGAGCGAACAGCAAGCACCTGCAGGCAGCCCAAGCCGGATCAGACCAAAGTCGGCCACTCGCACGGGGCAAGCCGCCAGCGGTGTGCGCGCACTGGGTGCCTGTTGATCGAAAGCGTCGGCAGGGCTTCGCTAAGACTTTTAGTCGGCCCAGGGGCCGTCGTCAGGCGTCGATGCCAGCTGTCTCACACGCGCAGATGATGTCGTTTTTCCGCAGCAAACCTGCCGTCGGAACCAGCGGGTGCACTGCTATCATGCAGCGTTGCGCTGCCGCAAAAGTATGTTCGTAGTGGACCAACTTCTGGCGTCGCACTGCTTTTTGGGGCAACGTTCGGGCTGCGGTTGAGTCTTAGTGAGATGATCCCGCCACAGGGGTTCGAAGATTTATTGCAGAATCTAATCGCGGATATGCAACGGCGCCCAGCGTCCTCAGTCCTTCTCGAGTGTAATTTGGGTCGAAATTTCCCATCTGTGCCCGCCGCTCCCGTATCCGCCGCCCAAGCGGTTCCGCACCATACTGCCAATGCGATCGCGCAGGCGCCCAATTTCTTCCAAATTCCGCACTCGTAGTTTGAGGTTCGCCTGGCAGAGGCCGTAGTGTACCTGCCAGAACTTTGCCTCTTCGACCGCCCTGATGGCTGGGTCCGTCTCGAGGTCGTACATAATGTCCGAAACGCCGGGCCCCGAGTAGGACATGAGCAGCATCTTCCCCAGCGTCCATCCCTGAATCCACCCCAGCGCTACCATGGAGAACGCTACTGAAAATGAAAGGGTCCGATCAAGCCACACATACATCTGAATGCTCAGCAATGGCAGCAAAAGGAGTAGTGTCGAGCACGACAATGTCAGAAAATGCGAAGGGTTGCTCAGCACAGAGGGTAGGTTAGCGATGGCGCTCAGCCTCATGACCTTGCCGATGCGCGCGTGGTTCTTCAGCAGGATTGCCGAGACGAGTGTCGAGACAATGCCACACAAGGCAGCAAGATCAATGCTGCCAGGCGATACTCGTTCATGCGTGTCTGCATGATGCGCCTCGTGTCCTCCACTGTTCTCGAGCGCGTGCGTCAAGCCATGCGATATGAGGTCCAGTCCCATGAACAGTAGCCCAACAGACATGCCTAGTCCTGCAATAACCTCCAGACGCTCAAAGCCAAACGGGTGTCGTATGCTTGATCGCTTCCATACCTCGAAGTTGGATCCAACGTCAACGGCCACACACAGGAATGCGCCGAGCGCATCGTAGAAGATCAGTCGCGACAACACTGTGAGAGCCAGGGATTCGTGCGCGCCCCACTGTACGAGACCAGCGACTACCAAGTGGCAGAAACACCATGCCAGCCTCAGCTTCTGATCCTTGGACATGGACGAGCGATACTCTTTGAAGGTCGGGATCGGGAGCGAGGCGGGGAGCTGGAGCGGGGCGCGCGGTGCGGGTTCTAGGAAGATCTGATGCGATACACTACTGTGCTTGTACTTGTGTCCTCGTCGTCGGCCGATATCCTGCGAAAGTTAGTATAAGCGCGTCGGGTCATATAGAAGAACACACATTGGCCTTGGTTTGGGGTCGACCAGGCTGGTAGGCGATAGATTGGAAGTTGAAGGGATTGGGGTTCTCGGACCCGCTCATAGAGGGCGCGTCGAGATCCATGGTTCCACTGGCAGCACTCGCGGGTGTCTGTGGAAAGGTCGCGCTCGCGGGTGTATACAGAGTCGCCGGGGACGCCCGCTGCGAAACTGAGTCACTGGGTCCGAGAGTCGCATACTGCTTCGAGGGAAACGTAGCCGACATGGGCGACAGCAGCGCATTGTTGTTAGGCCCCATATCGCCCATAGCCAGATCGCTTCGGAATCCTAGTCCTACGGGCTGGGGCGCGTTCTCGTCAGGAGGCGGCGTTGGGGTCCGTGGTGGAGCTGGCAGCGGCATTTTCGAGGCCATGACGGTGGTAAATGAGTGACGGTAATGAGTGACGGTTAGCGAAAGCGCAATCCAGGCTTAACGAGATAACCAGCGCAGTTGAACCCCGGACGGGAGGTGGAGGGGAAATTGAGGGAGGCCTTCTGTATGCGGCGGCCCATACTCGGTGAATCGACCAATCCGGCCCCGACTAGCCCGCATGCAAGGGAACCTACCCTTGGTACCCTCCAGGGCTAGAGCGCAACATGACGCTGACGTTGACAGTCTGGCGCCGAAACATGACACTTGATTCACCACCTCGGTCCTCCATGGCTGTTGACGCACGTGGGAACCATGCCAGACGGAAACGGTGCGCGCAATGAGGGGCGTGCTGAGGGAGCGGATGTGAAGCACGAGGCGGACGGCGCGTCTAGCCATAGACGCAGCAAGTCGGGAGGCATACTGGGCGCCTTTCTCAGGTCCTCCATGGATGCCATGGGGAAGGCGCCATCGACACAACTAGGCAACGACGAGGAGCACGATCAGGATGCGGAAGGTGCGAAGAGAGCGTCCTCAATCGCGACTGCCCTGCGCCAGAGCCAAGGGAGGCAGCGAAAGGGATCCCTTAGGAAAGCCGCCATGGCCAAGATGCGTGAACGGAGCAGCTCTCTGCGCAAGGCCAAAACTCCCACAATCACCACCACCACGAGCTTAGACCCCTCGGACGAAGGCTCGGCTCCAGGCCGCTTCAGCTACGAGAACGCCCCCCTCAACTCTTCGTCCGACAGTGGATGGCTACCCGCTGCCCGTCTGTCCCCGTCGTCACCCGCGCTTATTTACACCCCACCCGATGGTCCTGAACGGCATGCTCCTTCACTACTTGCATCACCCATGACGAGCCCGGTCGCGCCTTACGCTTCGACTACCGACGAAGACGACACCATGTCCTTCTACCGCCCCTCTCCCGCCGGCAATGACTTCTCCTTCAGTGGTGCCAACCAGGGCTCTGCGACATCTCTTGCACACCGCCGTTCAACTCGGAGCAACCGACGCACTTCCATCTCGGCAGTCCTGACACCTGCCGAGGCTGACCCCGATGACGAGTGGGATTACAGCGAGACGGAGTGGTGGGGCTGGGTCGTGCTCATAGCAACGTGGATTGTTTTCGTCGTCGGCATGGGCTCTTGCCTCGGAATCTGGAGCTGGGCTTGGGACGTGGGCGAGACACCGTATGCTCCACCCGATTTGGAAGACGACGCAACCCTGCCCATTACGGGCTACTATCCCGCATTGATTGTTTGCACCGCAGTCACGAGCTGGGTGTGGGTTGTCGTGGCCTGGGTTGGCATGAAGTATTTCCGCCACGCCAAAGTAGGCGTCGACGGCTAGTAGCCTCCAGAAGCAACGCACCAAAATAATCACCCACCACCGATCGCATGAACGTACCAAGGTCCTGGGAACGCCTTCTCTATTCTAGTGCTTTCGCTTAAGCGTTCCGCCATGCGCAATATCTTCTTGGGCTGAAACACTAAGCTATAATACCTCTGTTAAGACACATCATAGCCTCGCTATACCGCACTCTACGGTAATACAATTACTTCTTCTGCTATTGTTTCTTCGATACTCGCCCTAATAACTGCAGCTACCATCTCAAATATTGGGACGGCTGACAGAACAGCTGACAGTTTGGGCAGAATAAAAGCTGACGATGCCGCTTCTTTCCCGCATTGCTTGTCGTGATTCAGCGGCTTGGACCACAATCTCCGCGCCCGGCTCCTCCTCTCCACCACAATCCTGCGACCCCGTCACTCGGTAACCAGGGCCGTACTGAACATGGTGCGAACACCTCGACGACACGGTATCACCCTGCAACCTCCGATCCTGCAGGACCTGCAGCGCGGGAGCCAGGGTCCCACATGTTGGTGCAATTTTGACAGTAGTGTAAGATGAAGGCAATTTCCCTGTCCAGGCGACTTCATAAACAAAATGGTCGCCAACATGTGGCTGATAGGAGCAGATTGTATTATGCAATTGGTCTGTGATGGCCGCACCACAACGTCGTCGGGGAGGTTCCATGCTGGAGGAGCTACTACCAAGTTTACTCATCCTCAAGGGCCTGGAGTCTGGGGATATCTCGAAGAAAGACGCCGAGCTCAGTCGCGCGCTTCACGGGGTACAGCATGAACGGCGGCCGAGAACGATACCGCCCCGGAGGCCTCGTCGCGTTTCCAACGCAGTGGTGACGCAACGCATCACCAACGGCAGGCCCTTTCGCTTCTTCGAACTACCGCAGGAAATCAGGGATGAAGTCTACTCACACCTCGTGGTGCGCAGGACATCGCGCGCTCTCCCCATCCTCGACGCAACGACCATACTCAATGATCGGAAGAAACGCCTGGCCGCACTCAAGTCACGAGAACGGCTGAACCAACGGCGACTCTCGACAGGAAAACGCCCAGTATGTCCACGTACAGCCGAGACAGAGCCACTTCTTCATCTGGAACTCCTCCGAGCATCTCAAAGACTGGCCGGCGAAGCAACAGACTGCATGTACACCAACAACTGGTTTGCCATCTCCCTCAATAAACTCCCCGTCCCGACCTACGACATCCCGCACGGCTGGGACCTGTCACGCGTCAAACGACTACAAGTTGAACTCCAGCTCAAAGACGCTATACGAATGAACCGCTACGTCGACTGGGCGTCTTTCTTCTCTGCCCTTCCATCACTCCAATTCCTCCGCATTGTCCCAACCCTCCATCCCCGTTACTACGAATGGTCGCATCCTGAATTCCACGAGTGGTCCACCACGCCATTCGTTCACAAGGCCTTTTTCAGGGAACTACTAGCCGCGATACCAGCCTATGTAGATCTTAAGATCGGCCTCGCGATGGAAGACACGAGCGATGACGTGCAGATGCAAGGCGAGGTCTTCCTGCATCGAAAGTACCTTTGGGATATGTATGCGGAGCTGGGGACAAGGACGGATGGCGCGGGGAGGCGGATCGAAGTGGAGAGGATTGTATCATAGCATGATGATGATGGAGTGTGTTGCATTTACGAAAAGCGGTTGTATATTATGGGTCTTTATCTATCGTTGTTTGGGAGCCTTGGTTTTGCTTTTTTTTGGTACCGTTCAAGCGCATGCATTGGTCAAATTTGTCTTTTGGGTACGTCATTGCGTAGTCGTTGAATGGTGTGGTTTTAGTGCCAGCGACAAGCTGGACACATAAGTCTTGTTTATCCAGTTTTCATTATCCATTAAAGGCATACGAGCCCTTTCACATAAAGAAGGATGCGATGGAGTTTTGGACGCGAAGTCCAGTCATCGTAGACTTGGGGTAGGTTTTTTGGAGGAAAGAGGGCAAAGTGTAGTAAGAGGATGCACCGTAACAGAGTGCGTGACAAAGATTTTATATGTGCACGACGACCGATGCGCTAGCGTTCTACATGGAAAGTTCACTCCTAGGATTTGGGATTGTGCCGTGGAAAAAGCTCGAGTCTTCTACTCCATGTACAGTTCATTCGATCGTTTTTGATGTCTCTCATAAAAAATCGGTCATCGCTTTTGAAATGTTTGTCCCGAGATGTGGGTTTCGAAACAAGACGCAGAAGAGACATCCCAGTGGTCCCTGTAGTTTTGGAGATCCAGGAGCCGCACTCATTAATTAATGGCACAGCGATTTCGGTAAAAAGAAGGAAAGTGGTGTGGTGTTGAAAGGACAGAGTGCTGAAAGACAAAGGGTATTTATACACCTCGACCCAGAATACCGAGGTCTCTATCCTATAACTTTGCATGACGTTCCGTGACAAACACATCACTGGTGGGCATTCGAATTCTGGACGATTCCCCATGACTCTCCACGTAATGTTTTTGTTTTCCTGTAATTTTCGTGGTCGACCTTCACATGCGCAAAGTGCCATCTCTTTTGTTCCGCGCGATCATTGCATCGCTCGCGATCATCTTTGTTTTGGTGAAAGTCGGAAAATGGCAGCATCGCTTGTTGACGAGTAAACTTTGGACGGAGAACTTAACATCGGCTTATCCCAAAACATATTTTGGAGAACACGAGGGAGATGTAGTGAAGTAGGGGTGGAGGATTGGTAGGTACTGAAGACTTTATAGCCCTTTAGTCTGTCGTGCGCATGTTAGTTTGGACCCCGGAAGTCGACAATGGCTAGCTGATCTTGCGAAGCATCAGCCAATAATGACTTCCTATAACACACACTCATCTCTTTTCCTCCTCCTAACCTCAAACTGCATCATCGGATCTACAACCTTGTAAACTCCCATCTCCAACGGCTTCGACACATAACCTTCCTTCACTCTGATATCATACTTATCCAGTACATGCGCCATCGCCATCTTCAGTTCATTCGCTGCAAAAAACCTCCCCGGGCAAACATGTCTTCCACCTCCAAACACACTATAGTCAGGACTTGATTGCACGAATTGGCTAAACTTGTCGCCGGCTTCGCGCTTTCGAAGGAAACGATCTGCAACGAAAGAATCGGGGTCCGGGTAGTGCGTAGGAGAAAAGAGCGAGGTGGAGTCGACCATTATGTGTGTGCCGCGCGGGAGTGTATGTCCGGTTGGGAGTTTCACGTCTTTTAAAGCGACGCGTTCCAGGGCGACTATTCGATATGTTAGCTCTTCTTTCCTATGCATATGATCCAGAGAGTCGTATGGAGGTATGAATGGAAGGAAGGGAATACATACCCGCAGCCGCACTCCTTCTCTGACTCTCCTTCAAGACACTGTCCATCAACACCATTCCATTCGTCGCAGCGACCGAGATGCCATGCTTAGCAATCTGCTGCTGCGACTCCTCCCTCAACGGCGCGATAACGTCCGGATGCGATGCCACGTCAATCAGAACCTGTCTGAACAGCTCACTCGTAGTGAACATAGCCGCCATAGCAAGCGACAGCTGCAGGTCGCCCGCTTCCGCTTCTTTGCCTCCTGGAGCAACCTGCGTCCACGCAAGTGCATCGTTCCAAACGGGTTTATCTCTACCTTCTGTCTTCGCTTCTTCAACTTGGCGTTCCCTATCCGCGAGGACGTCTCTCATGATTTGCCTCGCGCGGGCGACATGTCTCCGGCATGCGGATGCATTAGGTGAAAAGAATCGCTGGATAATGCGTCGTAACCATGCTGGATACGCATGCAACTCGCCCACCGCAGAGAAATATGCCATGACATATTCCTGCACAAGCTTCAACCACTCCGCGTCCTCGCACTTCTCCGGTCCAATGAACACCGACGAAGCAGCGCGTGCGATTATAACCGTTGTGTCAGCATGCCAGTCCAGCATCCGCCACTCCCTCTCTTCACCCCAGTGCACACGCAATGCACTATCCAACTTTTCGCTCAGAACAGGCATAATACTATCATTCTGCCCTAGCTTCGTCTTGATGACGTCTAGCAGCATGTCCCCAGACGCGTGCAACACATCCTGAGCTTCGAAACCGGGATATCCTGCGTAGAAGTCTTGACGCACTAGCTCCCTGTGATCCAAGTCTCGGTTTGATTTGACGAAGTTGGATAGGGAAGCTGGGAGGATAACTTTGTAGGCGTTGGGGAGGGCGAGGGCGAAGGGGTTAGCAGGGTGGGCGGTGAGGCCGGTGGTTATTAGGGCGGAGGCATTGGTGGTGTAGTCTTGGTTGGCTTTTCGGCCGAGAAGGTCGTTTGCGTGTGTGTTTATTACAGGAAAGGGTGTGCGGCGCCGGTGATTTTGGATGTAGATGTAGACGCCGCTGAGGAGGGCAACTAGGGTCCAGATGCGGATGTCGTGGAGGATGTCTGCTATCATCTTTTGGAAGCTGCGAGTGTTGGAGTAGTCGAATCTGGAATCGACGGTATGCTCGATTAATCCTTTCGATCTTGACGTTCACTTTTATATTTGGGCATGATCAAATCTTGGCCGATTAGCGCGAAATGACTCATTGTGTATCATCCTGAGTTTGTAAATATTCACGCATATACATTGCGACTAGAGTTTGATATCTGGAAAACAAGTATTGTCGCTACTCTTCCGAGGCATCAGCCGAGGATGATCTTCGCGGGCTCCGTGCAATTCGCCTCCCAGACGACTTTTGGCACACGCCCAGCTGCCTTCCGATACACGATCTCGCCCTTGCGTTCAATCCAAAGAACATTGTAGAAGTGGTATTCCCAGCCAGATTCACTTTCTTTGCCGTATTTCTTCACTTCTTTCTGCAGTTCTACTAGAGTTAGCCCGAGAGTATGTAGGTCAAATTTACGAGGGTTTTGTTAGCTTCGCAAGGCTTGATATGCTACTTACCCAGATATTCAGAAGTACATATATCATCAGTATCTGATTTCATCATCTGCTTGAACAGAGGTCCGCCATCTCCTCCAACGTTCCGGAGGTGTTCCGACCGTATAGTCCCTGTAGACAAAGCAATCAGCTCAATCACGTCGCCGGGATCGACTCGGTCACGATTCATATGACGTAGTACGCCTGCTTGATTCCCTCGTTCGTCCTCCAGGCATATTATGTAGCATATCTCTGAAAGATATGGCTCGCGGGCAAATCGATCAAGTTTGAATACCGAGGGGCCCATATAAAACATAGTAGAGGAGCTGGCCCCTTTGAGGATAGTTTTGACACGGAGTGAAGCCGTACTTGTTTCGAATGAGAGGAATGGCCAATCTTTTCGAAGTTGCAATACAGAACGTGAAGCGCGGGGGGAAGATGCTGCCAAACAGTGCGAGCTCGAAGTCGTTTTTGCATCTACGGATCCAGCATCTTGGCGTTCTCTTGATGATCCAAGTTCGCTCTGATGACAAGATGGTTGTGTGCCAGGGGTTAGAGCGTTCTTATCGGGAGTAAGTTCTTCGCGCATAGATAGAGAATCAGATTCGTCAATGCGCGACGTGTGCTGCATATCTTCGGACAAAGCATACCACTGCACAAGTTGGTGTGTTTGCCAAGTCGATGGAGTAGGGCTGGTGGTTTCCCCGAGATGATCTTTCTCGAAGTAGTCGAACCTCGAACGGAGGTTGTGAGGGTCCACTGGGCATTGCCAACCGCACCATGACCATGATGGTAGCCTTTTTCTTGGTGCGACAGTGCCTCCATCTTTGGCCACTCTACGGCTGGCTGTACTGTAAGGTTGCCATAGTAGCGCGAGGTCTAGGAATTCACAAGGAAGGCCGCTGACGAAACCAGAAACGAAAGTGTGCTCCAGTGTACTCAACACACCAGATATCGCCGGTAGCGCGTCCTGCGGATAGGTCAGATCGCGACTGTTGTACAAGCTAACCATCTCGATGTACATGTCTAGATCTGGCTGAGACATGGTGGAAATTTGCCGAGCAGTCTCATAGTAGGGTCGGGTAAACGTAGTACTCGGAGCAGATTTTGGGGTAAGGTATTCCCTATTCCAAACGCATCTCTGGCAATCCCAGAATACTTCTCTGTCAAGGAAGATGATAACTCTCTTAGAGAGCATCTGCTCCTGAAAGGTCCACCCACGAGTGGCCCACTTGGTCTTCAAAAGCTTCTCGTAAAGCTGGGTAGTAGTTTTCAGGCCACGACCTCTTGTAGGTTTCCAGGTATTTAGATGTCCCGCGGTGGTCGCAGCAATTATAGTCAGGTACGCGCCAGCGTATATTTCACCCATGTTGTCGACCTGATCGCGCGTTCTCTCACTATCTTGTACGATGCATAGGCAATCAACCCACAGGTATCTTTCCCCGTACTTCTGCACAAGAACAATCGCGTCGTTTACTGCATAGGGAAGACGAGCGAGTGTATGCCCTTGCAGATACCCCGGCTCTTGAAACTGGATTAGAGTTTTCTGCGTTAGCATCAGTCTCTCCGCTATGAACATGTCGGTACTCGCATTCGGGGCGATCCATACATAGCTCAAAGCTATGTATCTTGAGGCAGTACGGCCGGGTACTATACAGCCTTCTGCCGTGTCAATGACCCAATCAGGAATATGGTGAGGCAGTCGGTGCTCGATCGGTGATGATCGACAGTCCTTGCCATGCTCTTGGTTGCATACGTTTTGCCAGTACGTGAGATATCGAGCATCGATCTCAAGACCGCTGTGTTCTGTTGAGCGCTCGAGGAGCCTCCGATCGCCGAGAAGCAAGTCCACAATATGGTGATCCTCGCGCTCGACTGCCCACATGAGCGGCGTGATACCCCGATTATCTTTCGAGTTCACGTCCACGTTACTTGTACCTAGTAACGCCTTCACGGTTGATTCGTTCCCGACTCTTGCCGCATGGGACAGTGGAGATCGGCCGGTCGACCTTTCCTTTGCCTCTACATCCACTTGCCCTGTTTCAAGTAACAGTGTAACGAGTTCTTCGCATCTACCCCCAATAGCCCACCAGAGAGCTGTGTAGCCTTGCTTATCTTGAGAGGCAGGATTCACTTTGCCAGTTCCCAGTAAAGCCAGCAGTGTCGCGTTATCTTGGGGGCCGTTTCTTGCAGCCCACCCGCTTCGCGCAGCCCGTAATAGTGGGGTATGGCCACTTGTATCCCTTGAGTCTGGATCAACGTTTTTCGAGTCAAGCAACATTCTCACGATCGCATTGCACCTCCCACCCGCAGCATACGACAGAGGCGTTCGACCGTTTTTATCTCGAGAATCTGGATCTACCCTGTTGCCCGAGAGAAGCTTTTCAACGATTGCGTCGCTCCTCGCATCCACCGCATACGACAGAGGCGTTCGACCTTTGTTATCTCGAGAATCTGGATCCACTCTGTTACTCGAAAGAAGCTTTTCAAAGATAACATCGCCCTTCAAACCCACAGCGTACGACAGAGGCGTTCGATCTTTGTTGTCTCGAGAGTCTAGATCCACCCTGTCGCTCTCGAGAAGCATACTTACAATCGCTTCACGTTCTGCGGCGATCGTATTGCACTTCTCTTCCACAGCGTACGACAGGGGCGTTCGACCTTCATCATCTCGAGAGTCCGGATCCACTTTGTCGCTTTCGAGAAGGATTTTCACAATTGCTCCACGCGTCTCGCCTGCGGCATGCGACAAAGGCGTGCGTCCTTTCGGGTCACGCAAATCCGGATCGACTTTGCCGCTAGCAAGAAAGACCTTCACAATCGCTGTGGATGCCCTGCTTGCTGCATACATGAAAGGGCTTAGTCCGTACTGGCTTTTTTCGTCCGGTCTCACATGGTTGCTTTCAAGCAGTTCCTGTAACAAAGCCTCATCCTCATCCTCGCCAAATGCTATGCGCTTTAGTTCCCATTGGCGATCTATCGTTGGCGAGTTCCTGTTGCTGTTCACTGTCCCCATCTTTGCGGTTGATGTCCCTCCTCTTACAGTGCTCTCTCGCACGGCTTAGTCGCGTGATTGCCCAGTAATATTGAGTCGAGCTTTTTCATGTCATGCGGTTTATCGTGGATCTGGGTATGGTAGTCTTCAAGTCTTGTCAAAGGCGTCAGTGGTGAGATGGAAACAAGGCTGGTGATAGCACGAGACAAGCTTGGCAGAATCGGAGCGGGCCCGCTTAACTCTTGTGTTCCTGTCGCGAGCTGTCAGCGGGAAGTGCTTACCGGCGTTGACACAGCCGGCATCTTGTTATTGGCTTGCTCATAAACGTGCCAAGCTATGCGCATCGCATGCGCCTCGGGCCTTGCGCCTGCCGTCAGTATGGGTTGGTCTTTCACTTCGCGCGACCGTTCGCGCCTGGGACCAGCATCTTACAACTCCCACGGAGTGCCACTTGTCCTTGCTCCAACTGAAAAAGACCGTGCCTGGAAGCGAAAGAACATTAGACTGGCAGACGTTCTCCAGTAGAGTCGGAAATGTCGTCATCTCCTGTTGTGATCCTCAGCTCGGGGGCTGAGTATCAACAGCCCCGGCGCTAGGTAGATAGTAGCGGCAGCTAACCTCGGTTATTGGACAGCGCGCCTGCACCTCTTCAGCTCGGCGCAGCGCCCGGGAACACCAGAATATGCCATCCACAAGGGTGAAGCTATGTTACTACCCACGACAGGCGCAGTCATTCTGTTGCCTGCAATGGCATCCCTACAGTCTGAACCCGTATGCCGACCTGCATCAAGTGTCCAGGAGGTGCGTGGCGGCGAGTCACAACCTTGGAAGGCTCCCTTGCCACGCCAGTGTACTCGCATAATCTACACCATTCGGAGAGCACTTATCACTCATCAATAGCTTTTTCACTCTATATGTAGAAGGTCTAGGCTTTTGCAGTCACACTTTCGTGCAGCCTTTGCGCGTGTCTGTCAGTTCTGAAGAGGTCTGCCTTGTGCGCCTCCGTCCAAGCCCCCCAACCAGACTGGGGTCCTTACATCTTAACCCATGGGATCTGGTGATCTCTAGGACTTCCCGAGAGCTTTCTCCAACGAAGCATATTGCACATGGATCCCATCTCGGTCGCGCTTGGCTGCATCGCTCTCTTACCACCGATCGCAAAAGCTTATAATTCGATCGGTATATTCGTGCTCGAGGTACGAGATGCGGGGAAAGAGATGATCATGGTCCAGACGGAGCTCGCCTCACTGGAATCTGTCCTTGAGATTCTGGCTCAGGACATGGAAAGTTGCCCGGAGAACGTATTCCCCACAAACCTTGTGGAGAACATCAAAAGCATCATCGCAGATTGCAAGCTTGTCGTGACTCAAATCGAGCAGTGTATTGCCGCGCACACAAACGACAAATCGACAAAAAGCGCCAAATGGGCGCTGTTTGGACGAGAACACATGTTGAAGTACAAGTCGATCTTGCACACGCATCAGATGGCCCTGAACATGGCCATCGAGACGCTCAACATGTATGTCCCCAGCATACGCAATTGGTAATATGAAGGGTTCTAATAAGGGCTTAGATCAGTCAGCAAAGACATCAAGGTTAACACGGCAAATCTACTCATTGATACTTCCGAAATCAAGGAGGACACATCACAGATACTCCAGGCGATCGCAAAACTCCAAGCAAGCCTACCAGATCAAGGCCGCGATGGTACTCATTTTATCCTGCGAAGATATCTCGACAGCCTTACCAGCTACGCAGAAAGCTCATTTGGTCGTGGATCTACTCAGAATCTTGAGGATGAATCCTCAAAACCATCGCCCTTCGAAGAAAAGCTCGCTCTAATTGACGACGACCCTCCACTACATCTTGCAACATCTTCTTCTGCTGAACAAAGCTCTCATCCTTCCGCGTCGACTTATGGGTCAGGGCCATCTCGCCAACCTGTGACCTGTCGTAAGTCACACCGTGAAGAACCTCCATTACAAGCTCTCTCAGACGACACCAAGCCAATTCTCGAACCCGATTTTGCACCTTCAGATGTATCATGGTGCAAGGGTCGCGCGAATCCCATTTCCATTCCTCCTCCTCAGCATGCATCAGAAGGGCACACCGACCTAGTGTACGCGTTATGTCACACAAGAGACTTCATCATAAGCGGCAGTAGGGATGGCTCGATTAGAGTCTGGAACGCATCGACGCGGCGCCTTGTCTACCCACCTTTATTGGGTCACAATTCGTCCGTTTTCGGCATGGTCGCGGACCACGAGACTGACATGTTGGTCAGTTGCGCAGGAAACGGCAGTCTTATTGTGTGGCAACTCTCAACAGGGGACATGAAGAGTAACGTTAAGCAAGCGCACGGAGACAGTATCTTGAGCATCAAGCTCAACTCGCAATATGTTGTGACGACTTCAAAGGATTGCACAGCGAAACTGTGGGCTCGCAGCTTCCTGGACAGCCTCGGGGAACGGCGAGGTAGCGAGCCATTCCCTCATAGCGTACTCCGTGGACATACAGGAGCTGTTAATGCAGCGGTTCTCACAGAAACCGAAGTCATTACCGCTAGTGGAGACAGGATAATTCGCGTCTTTGACATCGAAAGTGGCACCTGCATCAAACAGATTTCTTCCCACGAGAAAAAGATCGTTTCTCTAGCGCTTTCTCCGGATGGTCAATACATCATTTCGGCAGGAGGCGATTTGGATGTTTTCATCCATCACAAGCAAACAGGCCGTCCAGTTTCACGGTGGAAAAGCCACAATGACCTCATCCGCGCCCTGGTGGTCATACACGAGGAGAACTTGATCGTCACCGGATCATATGATGAGTCAGTAGCGATATGGGCTTATAGCGATGAAGGAACATGGAGAAAAGAGCGCAGCCTAGATGTTAAAGAGACTCAGAGAGTTCTGGGCCTGGACCTCAAGCAGCAGGAACGAAGTCACGATTTCACCGAAAGTGTTCGGAATGCAGTCGTAACAGGCACAGAAATTGCCGCGCTATCTAGCGGAGTAGTGTTTTGTATGTTCTCAACGGAAAGGCAAATTCTGTGTGGTGCAGGATGCACCATTATCGGTTGGAAGTTTGGGGATCCAGTTGAAGAGGACGAAGAACAACACGTGTCACGCACAGAATCCTCTGAGTCGCGAAGAAAGTTGAAAGGGAAGCGACAAATACTGCTCCAGCACATCAAAGATCGTTTCCGATAGTCATCAATTCTAGAACGTTTCGGATGTGTAGCGCGTCGCACTGTTTCGTTGTACATGCCACGGTATTGGCCTTGCACTGGAAAAAGGCGATACGAACTTCCTTGAGCGTAGATCTTCCGTCTTCTGAGCTATGCCGGGGGTTGCGACACAAAATCGTTGGGACGCTGGTGCGTGCACGAAAGTAGGCAAATAAGGCAATACGCTGGCTTCATTGCAGAGCCGCGTTGACGTCGCACGACACATATGAGCCTGCCAGCTCACACCGCGCCTCTATCGATGTCGAGCAGGAAAGAAGGCAATCATGCAGTCCCGAGTGGGGTGTAAGCCACTCAGGTAGCAAGCCCTAGGCCGGCTCGATAACGACATTACGTTTCGCAGCGTTGCACAAGGTGGGGGCCATGCATACAATACAACGGGTGTGATCGCTTTTTAACTTGCATACCTAGGTACATGTATGGTGCTATCTTTCAAGGATTCCACGGTAAGCTCTCCTGCCCTTCGGGCTGGGACCAGATAAACCCCTCAGGTACCTCGACTACCCTGCTCTTCAGCCAGTCCTGGACGCCATCCCAATCAACGCACTTGTGCATGGCGTTTGAGTTTGGAGTGGGGTTTTGATGATCAAGCACCCAGTCGTATGTTACGAGTGTAGCATCGAAATTGCACATGAGACTCTGCCTGATGTAGTCGACGCAGTGTTCATAGTGACGCTCGTACATGTCAGGGATATCCTTGATCTTCTGCTGCACTTCCTTGAAATACGATTGGTGATGGTCCTGCCAGATGTAATGCAGGCAGTGCAGCTGATGCGTTCCCACGGCCACCGCAATATATCCTCCTCCGACTGCTTCTGGGAAGCGAGATGCAGTACTGAGATTGTGGCCGACGGCCTCAATCTCGGAGGCTTCCACTCCGATCATGCCGTATTCCATGACTGAATGCCAGGCTGCCTTGGTATCCGGGCTTGGGGGGCCTTTGAAGGGAGACGGGTGCCAAAGAGAGCCATTGAAGCGCGTTTCGACGTAGGGAATGGAAGCCACACCTTCGTCAATGGGGGCTGTGGAGTTCAGTCAGTAGGTTCAATTTCGGTCAGATCTGGTGAGCATACAGTAGTAGTTGTGTAAATTCCAGCATGAAGTCCAGGAGACTCGGCCGACTTGGTTCCGAAGGGCAAGAAGCACAAGTATAATGCTTAGACTCACGCCGTGCGCAAGCCAGTGATATTTTGTTGTAAGACTGTTTGGTGATCTCGAATACATGTAAGTGGTTCCGTCATTTTCAGACCGAGAGATGCTCGACAAAGGTAGATAGGTTACGACGGGCTTCGAAAACATCTTGATGCTTCGTAAAGAGCAGGTGTATTGTCGTGATCAAGGAGATGATTTCGGATATGTTGTGGTAATCCAGAATCCGTCGAAAGATTCTCAGTTCCTGAAATTCGGAATGTTGAATGTTGACTTATCAGATAGTTCTATCGTCACTGACTGCACTGTTAATACATTTGATTGCGCTTACTTTGGCTACTGGCTCGCCCACCGACTCGGGGTATTGGCACACTTCTCGTAAGCCAATGAGCATGGTGCCCGCCTTTCGATGCCTCGTTGGCTTATCAAAGATGTTTAGGCTGACCGTTCTCGTCGGCAATTCCAAGATAAGGACCATGCTGGTACGAGACTGGGCAACGCGTTGAGGCTGAGAAAGAGATACAAAAGGATGATGGGAAGCCACCGGTCTTGAACTCAAGAATCTTACTATACTGTACTGAGTCAGCATTTGCTAAACAATCCTTTTCACAACATACCCTACGTAAAGAGTCGCAGACATGAAGCTACTTGTCATCGCACCAGTCTTGCTCGCTCTTGCATATGCTGCACCCGTAGCCCAGCTAGCCAGTGAGTCACCAGCCTTTGTGATAGCATCGCCTGGGCTAATTTGCCACTCTAGATTTTGAGGCTGATGCTATGCTGGCCGTTGCGCGGTCCCCAGAGTCCTCCTACGCTAACAAGCGTGGGGAGCGTGCCCATTTCGAAGCTGATGCAATGCTTGCTGTGGCAAGAGCCCCAAAGTCGTCCTATGCGGAGAAACGCGCCAAGTTCGAGGCTGATGCGATGCTTGCTGTTGCGAGGGACTCGGAGTCTTCGTACGCAAAGTGAGCAGGGTGGAACTCTGCATGCTCAATGATTCAACGCGATTAGCTACCTGATCAACAATGAAATGCTGCCGATCACTACCACCATTGAAACAAGGCTGTCTTGATGATTGTGACCGTCGCATAATTGCTTTCCTATATTACTGTACCGGTGAGTCTAATCGAGTGGCACGAAGTGCAGTACAATCTTCGAATGACCGTGCCCATTCAGCCGTGTCTTATCGCTGTCTAGGCCCGGGCCGAGAAGTCGTGAGACCCGAGCCGCGAAGTCGTTGGCAGGCGTGGCAGGAATGTAGACAACCTTGGAAGCAAGCAAGCACTTATCGATAAGAATTTCGAGCCACCATCTGGCACGTGTTTCTCGGCACTATTGATAATTCTTTGCTTGCTTGTTCACAAATCTGGTCGCTTGTGCCTTGGGGAGCGGCACACTGAAGTTCAAGCCCAGCCAGCAGTTTGAGCTGTGGGGTGGCACATGTGCGCGGTGGGGCGGGTTCACCCGCATGAAGTGAGCCGAGACCCACTTCCCGATATTGAATGCATGGAGGGCAGAGGAGTGCACCTGCTCTACCCTGCTCTCAAATGGCTCTGTAATGGAACTCGCTGATAGGCCGAACTGACCGCGTAGTGAAGCAAGCTGACGCTTATCTCCCATTGGTAATGTGTCAAGGGTCAGATCTATGTTCTGTCCCGCGCGTCTGAATAACTACAACACACCCTCGGACTTGTCAACATGCGCATATACGTGTTTGATGCCGCGAGCAAACACGCGAGCTTGTTTGCACCGCGTAGGCGCCTGTCGACATTTTCCAATATCCCGTCGTATCAGCATCCCCCAGATGTACTCATAGCGTCGCGGCGGCCCTCGATACACGCAGCCCCGTTGCGAACTGAGCGACCGGCAACCACAATCAGCATTCCTTCTTACCAATACCACCCCAATTTCCCTCCAGGCGTCATGGCTAGTCCATCGCCTCCAACATCTTCGTTCGTTGACCTAAAAGTAACCTTCCAAGTATTTCACTGACAGCATTGCAGGTACACCACGGCTTTCGCGCTCTTCGAGGCTTTGTGGGAGGTGAGATCATTCTCCTGCCACACGAGCATACGCGACTTTGGAAACCTCATGGCCACTAACAGTTGCTCCAGGCCGGCATCACCGTCTGCTTCGTCAACGTGGGCTCAGACCATCCGTCCATCATCGAAGCCATCGTCAAGGGCAAGAGAGAGCGGCCAGACAAATGGCCCCGGTTCATAACCTGCCCATCCGAGATAACAGCTATTTCGATGGCAGATGGCTACGCGAGGATATCTGGCCGGGCGCAAGCTGTCGTAGTTCATGTCGACGTAGGCACGCAAGCGCTTGGACAGGGCCTACACAATGCCAGCGTCGGGCGGGCGCCTGTGTTCATCTTCGCCGGAATGTGTCCCTATACTGAGGCTGGGGAGATGACGGGGTCACGGACAGAGTATATGCACTGGCTGCAGGAAGCGCCTGACCAGAAAGCTATCGTTCGCCAATATTGCAGATATACTGGCGAGATCCGGACAGGCCTCAACGTCAAGCAGACCGTTGCACGTGCGCTGCAGTTTGCAAACAGTGGACCCAAAGGACCAGTCTATGTTGCAAGCGCACGAGAGACACTTGCGGAGGTAATCGAGGAGCCTTACCGGTTGGATCAGGAACAGTGGAAAGCCGTCGGTCCCAGTGCTCTGCCAGCTGATGCGGTTGAAGAGGCAAGTTCTACATCTATGCGCTTACAAGACATCTTACTTACGTCATATGTTTACTCTTTAGGTAGCACAGGCCTTGGTCGGGAGCAAGCGCCCACTGGTAATCACAGGATACTCAGGAAGCGACAGGCGTTGTCCCGAACAACTGGTCGCTCTCGCAGATCTCATCCCTGGCTTGCGAGTGCATGACACTGGAGGCAGCGACCTCTGCTTCCCTTTCTCACACCCGGCTTCGCAAGGCTTCCGTCTTAGCACCGATGAATGCACACGCGATGCCGACATGATCTTACTCCTCGACTGCGACGTCCCTTGGATTCCATCAGTAAATCCGCCACCGAGAGGCACGCGCATATACCAGATCGACATCGACCCTCTGAACGAACGCATTCCAGTTTCCTTCTTCCCAGCGCATGGACGGTGGAGAGCTGAATGTTATACTGCATTAAGGCAGATTATTTCTCACATCACGACATCTCCCTTAAGTGGGACGCTTCAACAGTCTTCATTCCTGGAGCGCAAAAAGGTTCTTGCAGATAGCCATGAACAAAAACTCGTTGAGATCGCGGCACGATGTCACCTGGGCGACGAGCAATCTCTTGACGCGAGCAACATCGGCCATCTTCTTAAGCAGACTCTTCCGGACACAACAGTATTCGTGGTCGAGGCTGTGACATGCGGGCAGCTTCTCTCTGATCAGATTCAGGCCGATAGACCTGGCAGTTGGATCAATTGCGGTGCAACTGGTATTGGCTGGAGTAACGGCGCAGCATTAGGTGTCAAGATGGCCACAGACGACGCGGCCGTCACTACGGATAGTGCGCATAAGCCGACGCTCATTTGCCAGATTGTTGGAGACGGTAGCTTCATGTGCGCAGCACCTTCGAGCGCGTTGTGGGTTGGTGCCAAGTACAAAATACCCATCCTCACAATTGTACTCAACAATGGTGGTAGGTCTGCTGTCAAACACTTGCTACACGTGCGCTGACATTCTTAACAGGCTTCAAGGCTCCCAAGAACTCAACCGCCTTGGTGTATCCTGATGGATTGAATCAGGGAGCGACCGATGAAGAGATGAATATCTCCTTCAGGCCATCTCCAAACTATGCAGCACTCGCAGAAGCAGCTGCTGGAAGCAAGAGTTCGAAAGCCTCGACGCAGGATCCGAATCAGTGGATGGAAGGTGTACGGGTAGATTCAGTAGCATCTTTGAGGAAAGAGCTCGGTAAAGTCTCACAGCGAGTACTACAGGCGAAAAAGGGCATGTTGATAGAGGCTTTGATAACCCAGTAGGTCGGACTGGATGTGATAGGTGGGATGAACTATGACTCATTGAAATCCCACGCCTAGCCTTGTTTTTACTTCTGCGTGTCGGACGGCCAATTAAGTTAGTCTCCACATGTAGATGGTATGCATTGACCGACTACCAATACGCCTGAGCGCATTTCACCGCCCCCACTCTTCGACATGCTGTTTTGGAGTGCCCGATCCATGCATACGCTCTTACTGCGTCCTGGCGCATACGAGCAAAAATACAGGGCTTTCAGTCAAACAGGTGTAGTCAATGATAGCTACGATTAGCAATAGGAGGCGTAGCCTCGTCGTTGTGATAAGACAGCGCACTTCTTAGACATGTCGAATTTTCGCTCGTACGTGACAAGAAGCAGGACACGGTCTTGCCCATTCGTCTCACCCGGTTTTGTTTGCCCACTTTTGACACGCACTTTGGTGGTGTGCAACATGCTTCGTATCCCTGGACTCCAAGCGGCAAACATGGGTGGCTTTGACGCCCTTGATCCAATTGGAATAATGACGTACCGCCTTAAAGTTCCATGTACAGCCTTCTATGAAGCTCAGCCCCGTACGCTCAGCCTCGGGGGACCTCACTAAGGCACGCGAACACTTAAGTGTGTAAATACGCAAGGACGCACAAATCGCTGTCAGCCCAGCGAAACCATCACCTTTATTATCCATCATGTTTTTGGAGCAGATTTTCGGTCACGCCAAAGCCAGGTTCACTTTTGTGCCCGCCATTGAACCTCCGCCTGGGATTGAATCCAACCCTGAAAATCCCGCCTCGCTGGCTCGTTATGCTCACGTAACCACTGCAGTGTGCCTACCAATCATAACGGCCTTTTTCCTGCTTCGGACTTACGTTCGCGTCTACATCAAGCGAACCTGGATCTTCGAAGATTGTGAGTTATCCACTCCACCACATTGAGTCCACGTGTACTAATGTCTGATAGTCTTAACTACGATAGCATGGGTAAATACAACCGTGCTTTACAAAATCTTGGGCAGAAGTTTAACAGGGATTCAGGCAGGAACAGTCGCCTATCTCGGCATTATGGAAGCCACAATGGCGCACAATGGTGGGAAGCATGCTTGGGACATTACAGCAGCAGAAGCACAAGATGCAGCCTATGTACATCATGGCCACCTGCTTCAAAGCAACTGCTGCATGCGCTAACGTTTACTCCAGTGGTTCAACGTAGCAGCCATAGAGTATGGCGTTATGGTATGTGTGGTCAAACTTGCCGTACTTTGGCTTTACCGCCGCGTCTTTGCTCCCAAGCGCTGGAGCCCTCTCTACATCGCCATCATATTCCTAGTCGTCATACTCATCGGCTTCTATGGCGCGACTACATTTGCCAAGATATTCGAGTGTACACCGCGCGCAAAGATCACGAAACCTTCGCTTCCAGGCCATTGCGTCGATCTTTCCATGGTACTCAAAACCAGCGGATCATTCAACTTCATTACAGATTACCTGATTCTGGTTTTGCCTATCCAGGCAGTCTGGAAGCTTGACATCAGTCGGAAGAAGAAGTCGCTGGTCATATTTGTATTTACTTTTGGCTTATGGTGAGTAAGTGGCATGATGCTGTTGGACGCCCGGACTGACTACTACAAGCGCTCCCATCTTCGCAACTATCGGCTTTGTTGTTCGACTCCGAAACAGTAGCAACCGTGACAAATCTTGGAGACAGCCTGAGATACTTCTTTGGGGGTGAGCATTACATTATGATCTGAGTCTGACAGACCGTTCACTGACCACGGATTCCGTGTCTATAGTGCCGCAGAGCTCGCAAGTGGTATTCTGTGCGTGTGTTTCCCTGAATTCGGACCTCTCCTGCCACGCATACTTCGCATGATGCCGCACCGTCGACGATCCACAATGGAGGCGCGGCCTCTCGACAACGCGCTCGAAATTGGGGACTCACCCACGCTACCGAGACGAGCCTGGCGAGGCCGAGGCCGTCGGGAAAATCGTGAGAGACATGTGATGGACTCCGGAATAGGGTTGAGCGTATGCGATGCAGGCCGCAAATCCTATCGCGAACACTTCCTCCCAAGAGGGTGGATGGATTCAGGAATTGGCTCACACGCGGCGAGGACGATTGATCAAACCGCCTCTTTGGGGGGAATCCAGTCGAAGGACATCTCTTCAGCAAGCTCAAAGAGTGCGGAGCAGAACTGTAATCTAGATGCTCGTTCTGACTACGTGTAGAAGACGTATAACGTAGATGCAAAGCGATTAGTTTATACAAGTCAGTAGTGAGTTCCTGCTAAGGCTCTACTAAGACCTTGACTGTATATAACCTTGTGGTAATATCAATCGCTGCAGCACCCGAGAGAATGCATCGAGATGCCGTGGCTTTAAGATCATGGCTGTCGTCTTCTTGCCTTTGAGTCGTTCTCGACGAGCATTCCAGGGGCAAACACATCCGTCAATCAGGGCCATCCTTCTGATCAAGTGCTGCGTTGCTCATGTCTCGAAGAGAGCACATGCCCGTGTCGCTGAGAGGTTTTTCGAAGCGGAAGTCCACAACATGCGGCTTTCCTTGTACTTTTTGGAAGACTGGACCCAGTCATAGTCCTGAGCATGACCCTTTTTGGTGTTTCGGAAACAAGTGAAGAAGGTATGAGGAAAGAAGCTGAGGGCCAGAAGGGAGGTATTTATACATGTTGCCAAGTAGCGAGCAGCTCTCACATGTCCAACCCGTCGCTTTGTTTCAAACTGTTGAGTAGCTCAACGAGCAAGTCGTTTTCGAGACATTATCAGAACCTGGAATATTTTTGAAGGTTGCGCCAATGCACACATATGTTTTTTACCGCAGCGCCGAAGCAGAGCATTTCACGGTTTCACGATCAGTCCAATTCCAGCATGCGACAGAATTCCGGGAATTTGGAATGCGGAACGAAGTCTGCACACATGTGCAGCCTGTGTGCCTGCTTCTGGAGGGATGCACTCATGATTGGTAAACATTGCTGTTTACAGTGACCAGAGGTCCTTTACCCATGGCATATCTGCGTATAGTCTTTGGAGAAAGTACTCTCATGATATTGTCCTGTCGGTCGTTTTGGAGAAGAAAGCCGAAGTGTGAGGAAGATAGGGAGGAAGAATGGAGAGCAGGCGGATGTAGACTTTATGTTGTAAACTATGCTTTACTCTGGGTTTTAAATGATGTACGCTCCGAGCTTCCCACACATGTTCTTTTCTCTCATCACTTTTCGTAGCAGACGGCCATGGTCAAGTTGCTCCGATGTTTTTAAAGGCCAGACAGTCTCTTTTCATAGGTGTGGAACTTTCGTCATTCGGAAAAGGAAGGCGCATAGCCACCAGAGCAACAGGTTTTTGAGAAAGAAGTCAAGACTTTGGTATGAAAGAGAGGGATAGAAAGAGCTGGCGAGTTGGAATTTATATCTCAGCCTGGGCATCTTTCACGTCGCCACGTCCTTCGAGAGTTCCTTTGTAAGAAGACGCATCAAACGCTACCACCCATAGACTGCTGGTATACTTATCTCGAAGGCATACTCATCATACCTCGGGTCTAGCATATTGGCGACTAGAGAATATCCCCACATAATCTTCTTTTTGCCTTCTTTTCGGAGAACAGACTCGCATATATATAAATACCTTGTCGTTTTGGAGAGATAAGCGAAAGTTTGTGTGGGAGAAAGAGAGGAAGCAGAGGCAGAGTTTATACCTCAACCTCTTTCTGTGATCTTCGCATGGGGAAAAGCGAGCGCGTATTTCGGAAGACTAGGAGACGTCTCCACACATGGGTGGCTAGTGCGTGACTTTTTGAAAGCAAAAGCTCATGGCGATGAAGAGGTATGCTTTCGAAGCAGGGGACCTTTCCACATTCCAGTAGAGGTGAGTGTTTTGGAGGAGCAAAAGCTCATGCGGCTTTGCGGTGTCAATTTTGAGTAATTGGAGATAGAAACTGGTATGAGAGAGAGAGAAAGTAGGCGAGGAGGGCGATTATATACCCCGATCGTGAGACCAGACAGACCTTCTCTGCTCATCGAAGCCTTTCCGAGGATTTCTCGCAACATGCGTCGATGCATATTCTCTTTCAGTCCTCTATCACATGCGTTCAGATACCATCTTTGTAGGACCACCAGCGCAACAGATAGTAGACCGGAGAGCATTTTTTGAGACATGAGAAAAAGCAGTGGGAATGTCTGCAAGACTACTCCTCGTCCCCACACATCAAACTTCGCGTAGATCATTTTCGGTAAAGCCGATCTCCCACATGGAGCGGTCCATAGTTCTTTTTGGAAGCAGCACCAGCCGCAGACATTCAACGGTAGCAAATATCTTTTGGGTAACACAGTGAGTCTGGTAGTTATGAGAAGGAAGCAGGAAGACCGGCGAGAAGTATAAGGCTTTTATATACTGCGAGAGCCATCGATGACCCAGCTCTGTTTTTGATTGTGGGAAGAAGGACTCCACACCATGGGCATATTGCTAGAAGTTTTGGGCGAAGCACAAGTGCCAGCACATATGGTAAGTGGCAGTCTGTTTCTAGCTCACAGCCTCTCCATGAGCTTGATGTAGCTGAGTTTTGTATATGACGGAGGGGAGGGCAGAGACAGCCATGTAATAGTCCGTGATTGTTTTTTGGTTCGTGACTTAAGGATTACTTTCAGGCGGACGCGCCATCACCCACTCTGGTCGACTTTTTGGAGAAGGCACACCAGACATCGGTCGGTCGTATCAGTCTTTTGGAAAATACCACGAGAAGGTGTGGAGTACAGGATAGAAGTCCGGAGGCGTAAATGAGAAGTATTTATATGCTCAGAGAGCCCTGTCGCATCTATGTGGACATTTCCAGACCAAGGCGGAGGAAGCGCGGAACATGTAGTGGTAGCTTGGCTTTTTGAGAGGAGAGACCAGCTCGCCACATGATGACGGACCCTCTGTTTTTCCAGAGTCACAGACTCTCCATGCCTCATTGGCATTCATGATTTGATAAAGAGCAACAAGAGAGCCAGAGACAGAC